ATAGTTATGACTACTAAAGAAATGGAAAGAGGAAAAGTATGCTATTAGAAAATCTTGTATATCTAAATTAAAATTTTATTTTAAAACTATATTTTTTAGAATAAATGTGCTCGATATTGGCCAGAAGAAGGTGAAGTTACAGAATATGGAGGTGAATGGAAAGTGCGGGCTTTGTCCCGTACTTCAACAGCAGATTATACATTGCGAGAATTTTTATTACACGGAAATAGATTAGGTTTTGCAGATTCCAGACGGATTTATCATTATCATTTTCAAGTATCTTATTATTATTTATAATTTTTTTATGTATATTTTAAAAAATAACCAATTACATTATATGAATATCTTAGGCATGGCCTGATCATGGTGTTCCATCTGATCCCGGATGTGTATTAAATTTTCTTCATGATGTTAATGCGAGACAAGAATCAATTGCTGCTTCTCTTGCTTCAAATGGTCAAACTGTAACAAGTATAGGGCCAATTCTTGTACACTGTAGTGCTGGAATTGGTAGAACTGGAACATTTATTGTTATCGACATGATTCTTGACCAAATTAAGCGTCATGGTAATTATATTTATATTTTTATAATTGATTTTTTATTTAAAATGATTGTTTTAGATAATATATTCAAAATTTTATATATATCATATTTGTAGGATTAGATTGTGAAATTGATATTCAGAGAACAATTCAAAGAGTACGTTCACAAAGATCAGGAATGGTTCAAACAGAAGCACAATATAAGTTTGTTTATTTGGCTGTATTACACTATATTGAAACTGTATCTCAACGAATGCAAGCAGAACAAGTAATTATATTTATTATAATTAACATTTTTATGAAAACCTTAAATTTTAATAATTTAATATATAAATTAATATATAAATTTCATTATATTTTAATATATATTTTATTTATTATTATTTTTACAGAAATCTCTTCATTTAGGTCGAGAATATACTAATATTCGTTATAAAAGTGAAACAAATACTACGACTATGGGTGAAATTTCGATTCCTACATGTACATCTCTTTCAACATCAGCACATTTTACATTATGTAATTCTATCAATAATTTGAGGCCAAAGTAATTAATGTTAATATCATCAAATAATGTCAAAAGCAAAGAAGAGGCTTTGTTACTCTTACCATATGTGGTTTTGAGCTTTCGATATTATCGTACTTTGTAAAAATTTAATTTTTTAATTAATTGATTATTTGAAATATTTTTCAAAATGTGTGTTATTATAACGAATTCAATATACAGTGTATGTATTTATTATATACATATGCGTATGAATATAAATAATGTGTAGAAATTATAATATTATCACTTTACATTTAAATTGTTGATTACATAAACGTAACGAGAAGCATGTCAAAATATTATAGAAAAATATTTGTTCTGTTAACAATTTAATAGCAGTACTAACTAATCAACAAGAATATTAGAATGCAAAGTCTCAATAATAGTTATGTTAAGTATTTAAAACTTATAATTGCTTTCATATTATTTTGCTACATATATTTCATTACTTATTAATTAGATAACAGATTTATCTTATTATCATCTTTCATGTGTAACTTCTTTTTTAAAAATATTAAAATTTTTAATATTTTTCTGAACATGCAAAGAAGTTTTGAATAATTTTCTACATTTCAGAAGTAGTATTACACATATATTCAGAATATATTTGTTTTTATTGTGATTATATATTTGTACAAATTATTTAGTAATATTTAGGACTGATTTTTATATAGAATTTTCGTTTTATCTTTGCAAATCGCGAATAAGAAACATTTATTATTTGTAAATTTTATCATATTACAAGGCAGAATATGCGAATATGTGATACATTTGGTTTCATGCACAGTAAGAAATATATATGAATTTTTATTATTGACATTTATTATTTTTAATATTTATATTTAATTATGCTATTAAGATTATCACATTTAACTGTAAAAAACTTTTATGTAACTTTTATGTACTTTTATGACAAAAAGAGAACAATGATAAAATATAAAAATCAAAGTTAAAAATATATTTCAATTCATTTAAATTTCTACATTTTAAAAATTTTTTTTAATTATTTGCACATGAATTTGATAATTTTTTATTATTGATAAATTTCATTATATTTATTAAAAATTAAAAATTAATTAAATTAATATAAAAATTTAAAAATTTACTATTTTTAAATTATATTTTGCATGTATCTTAAATTTATTTTATACAAACATATTATATATGCTACAATATACAGTACATATAATTATTAGTATTATTATATAATTATCATATAATATTATATAATAATATAATTATTATATCTTTTATATATAAATTTTATATGTTTTTAAAATGAATGTTCTTGTATATCAGACTATTGTTAAATAAATATAGTATATTTGAATGAATTCTTATAAATTAAATCAGAAATCTAATATTATTAAATATATTTTTCCAAAACTTACATTATTACATTATTCCAAAACTAAAATAATTTAATTCAATATTTGAAAATTTATTAAAATATATTTGAATTTTTTTTATATATTTTATAAAAATTTTTAAGATTTAAATAGATTTATTAAAAAAATAAAATTTTATTTATCTAATATGATCATTTTAATGTCATAATATTTGTGTTTATATAATAATAATACAATAATTTTTATATTTTATATATAAATAATAAATATTTTATAATTTTACATATATAAAATTTATATATAATTTTATAAATGAAATTTATTATCAATTTTCATTTTATTTAATCTTAGTTTTGGAGAATGTTGTATATTATTTCTAAATATTAATGTATCTGTTATTAAAATATATATGATATTAATTATAGCATTAAAAATTATAGTGAAATTATATGAAACTTAAAATACTATATAAATATTTATATTAAGTTTAAGAAATTTTATTTAGTTATTTTTTATTTAGTTTTATTAGTTATTTAGTTATGCATACTTTAAATTATACAATACATAAAAAATATCAAAAATTTATATTTAAATTTTTAATTTTTATAAATAATAGTAGATGTTATTATATTATTAGGATGATATTATATGATATTAAATGAATATATGTATATGTAATGTCCACTATTAATTAATTATATTACTATTAATACTAATATAAATATTTAATTGTGAAAAGAAAAAAAAAAGAAAAAAAATAAAAAATAATGTATTTTAAAAAATTTTCTTTTCTGCAATTTAGAAATTATATTAACTATATTATTATTAAATTTTTCATTTTAATAATAAATATTTAATTCAAAAAATGATATAAAAAATTAATAAAATAGATATTATTTACATCCTAAAAAAAAATATTATAAATCAGTTCTATAATTTTTTAATTTAAATTTTTAAATTTTGAAATAATACTTTGAATTAATAAATACAGAAATAATATATACCATAAAATCTTATAATCTTTTTTATAAAATTTTTAATAACAAAATTAAAATTATATTGGTTAGTTTTATAATATATTTTATAAAATTTTATTAAATTAAAATTGTAAGATAGCAATTTTGATTAAAATTATGATTACAAATAAATGATATATTCAGAATATTGAAATTCAAAATAGGTTATCTATAGTATAATAATATAATATGTATGTATATAAGTAAATAATATATTTACAAACTTGTATTTATTGAAATTATTGGAAACAGCAAAATTCTAATAAGAAATGCATATTTATAAAATATTATAAAATTTATACATATTTGAGATAAAATACAAAAACGTCGAACTTCTAGCAGTAAAATGTACTATTTGTTCAAATGGTATTTGCCTGCATTTCCATTAATTTTGCGTATTCGAAATATAAATTATAGCGCAATAAATTTTTCTTTACCAACGGATAGTGTAATGAATATTTTTGATAGAAATACGAAACTGCTACAAAGAGAACGTGCTGCACAAATAGCTGATGTAAAACTATACGATTATATAAAAAATGAAGTAGGTTATAGACTTGCAGATAGAATATTTGATATAAAAAAAAATTTCAAAAAAGCACTTGATTTAGGATGTGGTCGTGGTCATGTGTCAAAACATATTTTAGCTGAACGTGTGGAAGAATTAATTTTAATTGATATGTCAACTAGCTTTATACGTCAAGCAGAAACCACTGAAGGAATTAAAGTATCGCGGATAGTTATGGATGAAGAAAATTTTTCAGTTGAATCAAATAGTTTAGATTTAGTAATAAGTTCATTAAGTTTACACTGGGTGAATGATTTACCAGGTTGTTTTAAAAGTATTAATAAAAGTTTAAAAAATGATGGAGTCTTTATAGGTGCTATGTTTGGAGGAGAAACATTATATGAATTAAGGTAATTTAATAAATAAATATATTAAATATACAAATATAGCTTATTTTTTTTTCAGAAGTTCTTTACAGCTAGCAGAATTAGAAAGAGATGGTGGAATTTCACCACATATTTCTCCATTTGCAGATATTAAAGATATTGGAAACTTGTTAACAAGAGCTAATTTTACTATGCTAACAATTGATGTAGATGAAATTGTTATTGGATATCCAAGTATATTTGAATTAATGTGGGACTTAAAAGGTAACATTTAATATTTTTTATATAACAACTTTGATTTGTGTCATTGATGAAATGTCATTTAATTAATTTTTTTAATTTCATAGGTATGGCAGAAAATAATGCAATAAAAAACCGAAAATTACGTTTAAATAAAGATACTGTTCTTGCTGCTGCTACAATATATAAAGAACTATATGGAAAAATTAAAGAAGATGGTACTTCATATGTGCCTGCTACATTTCAAGTAATTTATTTATTAGGTTGGAAACCAGATCCATCACAACCCAAGCCTCTGGAAAGAGGTAGTGGACAGATTTCTCTTAAAGATTTGTATAGATTGGATGAAATTATAAAAGAAACAAAAAAAATTAATATAGATGAAGATAAATAATTATTGTAATATATTTTTATTATATATTAAATATAAAAATTAATGTATTTATTATATAAATTTTCTTACAATTTATTAAAACAAATTAAAAAGTAATTTACATTAATTAACAAAATTATTAACAAATAATTTTCATTTATATTATATAATTATTCTTTTTTTTATAATTTATGTTCATCAATTTTATCTTTATGAGTTATAGCACCTTTTTCTATAAGATCAGGAATTTCAACTGCTAACCATGGTCCAAGCTAAAACATATGAATTTTCTAAAAATATAATAAAAATAATGATTTAAAAATTTATTTATATATAAAAAAGATTTACACCAAGTGCCATAGCATGTGCAATACCAAATTTTGGTACATTACGTGCCCATAAAGGTTTAAAATGATCTGTTAAACAAATCTTTCCACCTCTATACATTTTTGCTGTTTTACCATCTAGTTCTGGTAAAGCAATTTCAGGTGATGTTATAGGATATGTAACAGGTATCTAAATATATAAAAAAATCACATTTTGTCAGAAAATCAAAACATTTGATTAAGTTTATGAATTTAATAGATATAGAAAAAAAAACAATTACTTACATCAAATTCAATTTCAAATTCATATTTTAATAAATTGTGTATGTACCAACATTTTCCAAACCATCTTGTACCTTCCTTATTTGATTCCAGACGAAACCAATCATTGTCAGATTCTTTATTATTTTTTACATACTAAAAAAATAATAAAAATTAATTAAAATTATTACTAAATACTAAAAATTTTACTTCTTTTCAGTAATGGTATAATTATTTAATAATGGTAATTTTTTTCTGGTTTCAGATAAACATATGGCAATAATATTTAAAATATAATTTACTTGAATTAAAGCTTGGTACTCTTCTTTCAATCTTTGCACCCATAATTCTTTATCTCTAGGGCCTGCTTTTGTTTGTAACAATGGAATATTACTTAATGTTTTCTTCGTTGATTCATCTACCATCATAAACTATTACAATTATTATATAATTAGGCAGATATATATATGATTTTTATTTTACTTCACACATAAATCCCTCATAAACGTGTTTCAAGTTAAGTTTTGCATCTATAATCTATGTTATTGTAGAAAGTATCAGAGTAATCGATATATCGAAATAATCCTTATATAAGTATATGCTTATTTGGAGATATTATGGAAATATTTAATTAAAAAAAATAAATATATATTAAAACTAATATTATATTTATTTTTTAAATAAACTTGTCAATTTTATTATATTTAATTTTATTTTTTTATAAAAAAGAGACTTAATGATTTATTTTGAGGTATAATGATCAATAAAGGTCAGTCGCATTTGGAAAGATAGTGATATTAAAGTTTTTTGTGTTGTATGCACTTCAATTTGATTTGCTTTCTGGTCTCTTAAAATCTTGTGAAAACTTGTGACATGATAATCAGAGATCAAAAAATACTGTCATTTCGAAGAAAATAATATTGATACATCATGGCTGATTCATCTTATGAAAAAGGACTTACAGAACTTTCAAAAATGAAGGTAATTTAAATGTATCATTGCTATGATTCGATATCCGGGAAGCTAACCTTATAACAAACAAATTATAAAAAGATTTTTTTTATATTAATTTTTACTTAAATTATTTAAAATAATTATTTTTAAATAATTAACATTTTTATTAATATATTTTAAGAATATATATTGTTTATTAAACAGAAATAGTATATAAATATTAAAATTGTTGAAAAGAATTATATATAACAGTAATTTAATAAAACATTATTAAACAGGTTGCAGATTTGAAAATTGAGTTAAAACATAGAGGACTACCTACTACTGGTAATAAAAATGAATTAGTTGAAAGGCTTCAATTAGCAATTCATGGTGGTATATGTTTTTGAATAATTTTTAAATTATATTGTATTTTGTAACAATTATATATTGATGAAACAATATTTTCATTATTAGATTCTGCTTTATCTTTGGATGAAACTACAGAAGAAATTTTAGATGAGGATGCAGTCCTTGGTGTAAATAAAAACATAAATTTGATATATTATTTAATTTTTATTATAAAATTAATATTAAAAAATATATTTGATTAAATAGGATGAAGAAATAGAAGAGTTATCAAGTAAACCCGATTCACAAGAAGGTAACGAAAAAAGAAAATTGTCTACTGAGAGTAATGTAAGTGCAAAAAAGATAGTTCTAAATCGAAAACCAGTAATTGAAGAAATTAAGAATGAACAAACAGAAAAAATTGAAATTGATACAAAATCTATTGAGACTGCTCCACCAGAAAGAAAGATAATTAAATTATCAGAACTTGGTATTAAAGAGGTAAGGTATTAAGAGGTAATATTTTATTTTTAATATATTTTATAAGATTATTATAAAAGTTATAGATTGAAAATTATAAATATATATTATAAAAATATATTATAAGTAATATAATATTTATAATAATTATAAAATATTAATATATAGTTTATTTTTTTGTTGTATTTTTGTTTATTTTGTTGTACAGAGATTAGAAATGAGAGCTAAGAAATTTGGATTACCATTATCAGAAGCAGCTAAAAAAGAAGCTAGATCTGCAAGATTCAGTATTAATAATCAAAATAGTAAATCAGCTGCATCTGTAAAAACACCTGTGGTATGTATTTTTATTTAAATATCAGTATAACATTTTTTTGCTTTTCAATATATAATTTATTTTGTATTTATAGCATACAACTTATGAAGTTTTAAAAAAAACGAGCAGAAAGATTTGGTACATCTGTTTCTAGTCTAATGGAAAAGGTATAAATAAATAAATGAAAAATTTATTATAATAAATTTAAATTTTAAATATATTATACGATATGTATGTGAAATTGTATATGAAAACTCATATAAAAAAGATATATATAAAAATTATATATTAATTTTCATAATTATTTTCATATTTTATTCCAGGCTGAATTGGAGGCTAGAATAGAAAAAAGAAAAGTCAGATTTGGTGAAGTGAAGCCTGCAAATAAGAAAGTATTTTATAATAAAATTAAAATTGTTAAATGATATTCAGTGTTATACACAAAACAGCAATTTAGATTGCAAACTTTACTTTAAGCTTTCTTATTTGTAATATGATTATTATATACAAAAATAAAAATTCATTGTATTTGTTATAAAATGCATGACGAAAAGTTTTTTTTGATATTATAATAGTTTATTTTTATTTTTTATAACAATTATATGTGAAAATTACTTTAATTTTTTTTTACTTAAGATATTTATAAAATGAATATATACTTTTAAGAGCATTGTATATAATAGAAAATTTATATACAATGTTGCAATATTATTGTTTTCATTTTATATAAAAAATGAAAGATTTAATATTATATATATAAAATTAGTGCATATATTATTTTGACTTTTATATTAAAATAAATGATTGACTTGAAGTGTGCATATTTATAATATCGAAATTTTGTATTATTATAAATAATATAATTAAAAGCAAGTAAATAAATTGTTCTTCTATAACTATCGCATTAAAATATTTTTTGTTCAAAAAGAAAACATTCAATGATATTCAATATATTGAATTTTATTACAAAATGTATTTAGGCTACAACATGTAATATAATTGCGTTTGGTCTAGACCCTTACGAAAAACAAAAGCTAAACTGCACCACATTTATTGTTGTCTTAGTAAGACATTTCGTCCGTTTACGTTTCAAGGAAACACTTATAAATGCGAAAAAATTTGGTATATATATGAAAATAAAGTACCTCTTTTTGAGTTATATAAATCATATATATGTTTATCCAATTTTGAAATCAAATCACTATGTTATCTCAAATATATATGAATACATATAAATTTTTTTAAAAAAAATCGATTTCATGTTCTTCTTTTAATCTTTATTTAGCAGAATTGAAAATTGGATAAAAAAAGAACTTTCCGGACAA